ATGCTATAATATGTCTGTAATTATTGATGATCAAAGATTAGTTAATTTCATTCACGAGTATTCTGTATGGCATTTTTTTCTCAATTAAAATGCAATTAACAGTCAGGCTGGGTTAGTGCAGTGGATGACAAAGGCACTGCACAAAGTTTTGTAGCTTTTGCAAAGTTACAGTGCTTAAGTGTGTTAAGTCTCCTATTCTATTTTATTATTACCTCTTTTGCTATTTTTCTTTTTTTAATCTACGGTTTTCTTTAAATGACACATCTTGTTATATTAAACCTGTTCAATTTGAGCAATTAATGCAATATCTGCAAGCAGTACCCAACTGCCCTTGCTAGAAAAAGATCTGTTCACACCACCAGCATCAAACTTCTGTCCTTTCTTATCACAGTAGATGCGCCCTACGAGCAGAAACGTTCTTTCTTAGGGCATTTGACATTTGCAGCCCATCTCTAGTAACCGGCCCCTTCTTGGCCGGCCAGGGTGGCTGCCACCGGCAGCTTCAGGCCCTGTAGTGGAAGAGGGAGGTGGAGAGCTCAGCCTTTCTTTCTTGCCTTCCCTCCCAACCAAAGTGGCTCATGTTTTGTCACCGCTTCTGCCCAACGCTGCCTCAGACACAGTGGCCAGTTCCATGTGCCATACACTGAATTAGGTCACCTCAACATTTGAGCCAACACCAGCAGCTACAAGACACAGTTGACCACTCTTGAACCCCACCTTGCTCACCTGCACAGGCCTTTGGAGCCGATGCAAGAGCCCCAAGGTTGCACCCCTTCAGCTCTTGTCCTTTTTCAAGGTCTTAAGTCCTGCCAGGTCACCCCAAACATTAACTTTGATTGGGGATGTGGCTGGGACAGAAGCTGTGGTTTATAAGGTACCAACATCGCTGTTCAAGGCAACGTTGTCCTTGCTGACCAGCACCCTGCGCACTTGATGGGTTCCTGGTGAGGCGGTGAAGAAGGGCATGGTGTCCTGCCTCTGGAGTGGGAATGAGCTTTCCTCCTGCTGGACATTGTACCAGATACTCCTGTAAACAATCAGGAGGTATCCTTATATCTGCCTGCAAACTGACTGCATTTCAAAGGATGACTTGCTTGTTTGGTTCCAGTCATCCTGGAACAGTTTCAGACTGGTTGCAGCTGCATTGCTCCCCTCTGGGGAACACATCCACCAAAACGGTCAAGTGGTGATGTCTTGGAGGATCTTCCAGAGGAGTCAGCAGGATCCATGCAGGTACCCAGGCAGGCAGACCTCAGCCTGCAGGACTTCACGGGAGCAGTCTGGCTTCTTGACTTGCTTCTGATCCAGTGCAAGTCCTTAACCTGAGGACTTGACTGGATTCCTCTTCTTTACCATGCGAGATGGAGTGCTGTGTACGTACAGAGCTACCTAGTACCTTTTGCTGAAATCTGTCTTTTCCTGGGATGCAGACATCAAGCTTAAAGCAGAAACAGCTCAGGAAAAGACGTGCTCAAGGCACGTGCCAGTGGAAGCACACAGACAAAAAACCTGAAGCAACCACACCATAAAATATTGTCATTGTTGTCATCTGGGCAGATCCCAAAGGAGGAGAGCCTCCTTGCACTCTCTAGATCAACACTCGAGATGTTTGACCTGGATCTGTCACCAGCAATCTTACTGCACTGCTGAAACTCCTGGCGACAAGACGAGCAGCAGCAATGTAGTCATGGTCCCTGGAAAATTCCATAAATATCAGAAATTTATGTCTCTCTTAAGAGTAGCTTGAAAGGTGAGGGCAGTTAACTCTGGAAACCTCTGCTCAGGAGTGAGAAGGCAGGGCAGAAGTTGAAGGACCACATGTAGCACTAGCACCAAAAACTGGTAGGGTCTGTATCTGCGGGGTTTTAAAGGTGATCTTCAGCAAGAGAGACATTGTGTCCAGAGCAGGGGTCTGGGAGTTAGGAGAGCTGGGTCTTATTCCGCTGTCTTCGCTCCAGAGGTTTTATCCAAGTAGACCCTGCGCCCAAGTATCTGCAGGGTCTTTGAGTTTGCCACGTCGGGGCTTCCATTTCCCTTGCTCTGCAGAAATAGTTTTCCTGTTAGAAACACAATTTGAAACAGTATTGTAATGAAAAAATACGATGAATAATTTTCAACATTAACTATCCTAAAGTGTGGTTAGTCCAGGGTTCATCTCCTTTCTGTGATAATTAACTCTGAAATCCTGATTAGCATTATCTCAGTTAAGCCATCTTTAATGTCTGCCTGCATATGGCCATGTCTGTGTACCAAGGGTTGGGGTGTTTTAAGAGTGCCTGTGGCTATAATCCTTCTCCAAATTAATCTGATGACATAACATCCATGTGATGTCATCGCTTGTTCTGGACCATTGCAGGCTGTGCAACTACAGCGTTAATGTAAAGCCCGAAGGCCATCTCCTGTGTGCTGCTCCTGTCCCCGGGGCTCGCTGCTGGCCGGTGCCGGGGCGAGGGGCTCTCCGTGCCCACCGGCTGTGCCGAACACCCTCCGCGTGCCGCCCAGGTCGGAGCTGCCACGTCGGGGAAAATCGGCATCCGATCAGCCTCTTCGCATCGACAGAGGCGGCGGATGCTGCGTAAGGGCTAAACAGCCCTCATCCACACACGGGGCACCTTGAAGTCAATAACGCTCCGCAGATCCAGAGTAAACCCACTGCTAACAGACCAGAGACGCGGTAACAAATGGGAGGGAGATCAGGCCGGAGCGCAGAGCCCTGTGCTGGGGGTGATGCAAACAGCACGGAGAGGCAGCGAGGGCAGAGCTGCCAGTGACACGAAGGAGCAGACAGACAGGCTTGGAACATCCTTCAGCGTGCCACCATTTCCTCCTGCTACCTGCCATCTAATAGCAGCTCTGCTGCACTTCTTCTTGGCAGCCAAAACAGCTGCATCTCTCACCTCAAAAAAAAAAAAAACAAACCAAAAAACACACCACCACCCTGTGCATTCAAAGTCTTCTTGCAAACATACCACCTAGACCTGACTATTTTGCTGAACTCTGACTTGCAGCCCGTACTTTTTATATCATGACACTGGATTCTGATGTATGAAAGAAAATCAATTTCTTCTCCCTCTCCGTGCCCCATAGCTGTCAGAATCATTGCTGCTTTTTATTTTTTACATACAGTAAGTAGGAATAGATGCTTTAAAAACTCTCTTGTTTCTCAAGTCAGGATGTCAATGAGCTATGAATAATGAAATAAAAAAATTTCAAATGAATGGCTAAGACGCAGCAGAGAATTTTAACCAGGGAAGAGAAACAGCATAAGGACTGCATTACAATCATCATCCTTACGGCCAGATAAAGCACTTCTTCCTGCTCGTCTTGTGCGGCGGACAAAAGGAGCCCGGCAGGCAGGACAGGGTGCCAGCATCCCGAGGGGGCATGTGCCGGACTGCCCACGCGCTGCTGC